GGACACTCTTGTGGGTCACTCTTATGGGACACTCTTGTCGGACATTCTTGTGGGACACTCTTGTGAGACACTCTTGCAGGACACTCTTGTGGGGCACTCTTGCGGGACACTCTTGTAGGACATTCTTGTAGGACACTCTTGTGGGACAATTTTGTGGGACACTCTTGTGGGACACTCTGGTGTGACACTCTTGTAGGAAACTCTTGTGGGACACTCTTGTGGGACACTCTTGTGGGACACTCTTGTAGGAAACTCTTGTGGGACACTCTTGTAGGACACTCTTGTGGGACACTCTTATAGGACACTCTTGTGAGACACTCTTGTGGGGCATTCTTGTAGGACACACTTGTAGGACACTCTTGTGGGACGCTCTTGTGGGACACTCTTGTGGGACACTCTTGTGGGACACTCTTGTAGGACACTCTTGTGGGACATTCTTGTGGGACACTCTTGTGGGACACTCTTGTAGGAAACTCTTATGGGACACTCTTGTAGGACACTCTTGTGGGACACTCAGTCTTATAGGACACTCTTGTGGGACACTCTTCTGGGACACTCTTGTAGGACCGCTCTTGTGGGACACTCTTGTGGCTGTGGGACACTCTTGTAGGACACTCTTGGCACACTGGAAGCAGTCCTGCGAGCGTTTCGTACGAGACTTCCTCCAAAAGTCACGCTTCGAGGCTGCGCAAGACGAGCGTTTCGTTCGAGACTTTCTCCAAAAGTCACGCGTCAAGTCTCCAAAACGAGCGCTTCGTACGAGACTTCCTCCAAAAGTCACACGTCAAGTCTCCAAAACGAGCGTTTCGTACGAGACTTCCTCCAAAAGTCACGTGTCAAGACTCCAAAACGAGCGTTTCGTACGAGACTTCCTCCAAAACTCACATGTCAAAGTCTGCAAAACGAGGATTTCGTACGAGACTTCCTCCAAAAGTCAAGCGGAAACACCCATCGGAGCACACACATCACGCAGCCCTGCCAAGCAGTTTCGCGAGTCCAGCCCCTCCAAACAATACCCGCTCACACGCCAATCCCAATGTGACAGCGACATTCACCTCTACCACAACTCACGACCTCACGATTCCCTGCGCCTGCCACGAATCTTTCCGCACCCACACGTCTAACGCGCACAAAGTACTGCGCCTGCCACGAAATGTCACTTCCGTCACACCTCGCAACCTCACGATTTCCTGCGCCTGCCACGAAATCGCACTTCCACACCTCAAAATCAGCACAAAGTACCGTGCCTGCCACGAAAAGTGAGAATATCATCTCACGTGAGCTTCAATAAAATTTGCACCACACCACACGTTTAGAATGATTTCGACCCGTTCTGAGCACACTCCCATCCACCAAAATCGCCATTCCAGCTGAGACTTGTCACGAAAACAGAGCTTCGATGCCACACCCTACAACGCAAATCCCAATGGCACGGCCACATCCAACACCCCAAAAACACGACTCTCCAAACGCTAATCCCAATGGAACTGCGCAGCAATCTGCAGATCTCACAAAACGCTGCGCCTGCGCAGCGAAACGCATCACGTTTCTTGTGCGACATCTCATTTTCATGCAAATCACAATGGAATAGCGGCGCAAACTGACGCGTGACACATCCATGAAAAGTCACTTGCAAAAGCTTCCCCCAATGGCAGCGCCTTAGCGACCTACTGCGGACGGTTGCGAACGGTTGCGGACGGTTGCGAACGGTTGCGGACGGTTGCGAACATAGAAGCAACGGGTCGCGAACAAGGCTCTACCCCCAGACCCCCAAGAGTTAAACGAGAACCCTTCGCTACGCATTCGGGAAAAATATAAAAACACTTCAGAACTTCAGGTCGTGTTTGTTAAAAGGTGGTCCCCAAAATAGGGTTACCCGCGAAGATGGAAACCTGGGAAGAGCTTCAAATAATTGAAAAAGGTCTCCAAATCGAAGGGTCTTCCTCTTTCCTTTACAAAAAGCCTTTGTTAAAATAACTATTCTTTGCTTGTAAACTGTCCATCAGACTGACTAACAACAGAAGATTTCAAAAGATGATGTCGCTGTGTCTCTGGTAGTGATTCTAGTATACTAGTGTTAAAGCAGTGTCAGTGCAAGCCGATCGCAGCAAGCAGTTTCGTACGTACCGAAGGCACCTCGTTTGCTCAGGCGGAAGCAAAAGGACACGAGCGGCCGACGGGTAGGGTTAGGTAACCTGTTGTCGGGTCTAGGGACCCGTGTTTCGATATTGGTAGCGGAGCCCTCCCCGTAGGTGGTAGGGGGGAGGGTTCCAGGGGTTTTGTTTAGGTGTACAGCCTTAGGTTTGGTTGGAGCACCAAAGCAGTGTCAGTAGATCCATGGCGTCGTCGGATGTCGGTTCCCTGGGGAGTCAGAAGAGGTTCAATGGCGAGAACCTCGATCCGAGGGAATATCGACGCTGGAGGCTTTGGGTGGAAGCCAAAATGGCTTCAACAAAGGACCTGGGTCCGAAGCAGAGGGGCCCCTATGTCTTTTGTTTGTTGGATGGAGTGGCCCCAGAGGCAGTTGAGCATGTGACATTGGAGCAATTGACTGAAACCAACTGCGACAGTCATATTTGGACAGCCCTGGATGCAAGATTTCCTGACAAGTTGACCCACGATTGGCTTGCTGAGTGTTTGAAAGAGGTCTTCGAGCTATCGGCAACCGACGGCGAGAGCCTAGCCAGTTGGACGTCACGCGTGCAAGAAGCATTCTCAAAGTGCAAGAGGAAGGTCTCGGTTGATTTTCCTTCTGAAGCACGAGGCTGGATATGTCTCAATGCAAGCGGCCTCTCTCCTGACCAACGAGCGATTGTGACCGCAAAGACTCAGGGAGATTTGCGTTTTGATGTTGTGGTGGCATCCATGCGCAGTTGTTTCCCGGAGTTCCGTGCATCTCGAAAGCATGCGAAGAGTTCGTCGGCCTTCATTGTGCAACAAGAGACGGAAGAAGACCCGGACGTTGAAGTGCCTTATACAGGTGAGACAGATGGCCCAGACTCTGTTCAGTTCGAGGAGGTGGAGGCTTTCCTGGCGGAGTATGGATTCAACGAGAACCAGAACGCCAGTGAAACATTCGAAGAAGAAGAGATTGCCGAAGTTTTGGCAGCCACCTGGAAGGAACGGAGAACAGAGATCTCCAGACTGCAGAAGTCTCGCAAGTTTGGACAGGCCAGTGCCGTGAAGAGACAGTTCAACAAGGAGATCAGTGATCTACAGAAGAGGTCTCGCTGTCGACGATGTGGTCAAACTGGCCATTGGGCCAGGAACTGCACACAGAAGAGTTCATCGAGTTCGACCCGCAGCGACAAGGACAAGGTGAACGGAGCAGCAATGGTTGAAGATGTGCTGTTAGTTTCATCCCCAGGGTTTGGCATCTTAGACTCAGGCTGTAGCAGGACGTTGATCGGGCAAGACACCCTGAACTCGTTCATGCGGCTGTATCAAGAGAGAAACATGAGCTGTCCTCCGACAAAGGAACAACACAACCTCTTTCGGTTCGGCAACGGCAATGAGGAATGGTCAGAGCGTGTGGTGTCCCTTCCCGTGGTTGTTCACGGGAAAGCTGGACGAGTCGAGGGGGCGATCATCAAGGGGAGTGCACCGCTATTGTTGAGTCGCAATACATTGAGAAGTTTACAAGCAGTATTGGACTTTGCACAGGGCACGCTTTCGATCGCAGGTTCACCACCAAGACCGTTACAGACAAACAGTGCTGGACAATATGTGTTGGATGTGTTGGGCCAAGACGAGGCCTTGCTATGTGAACAGCCGTCAGCTTCAGATGATTCAGATACAAGAGGACGAGATTGAGAGTGAGAAGACAGAGATCGACCTGGCTGAGCTGACTGTTGGCACGGAGAGAGAATACACCCGCAGAGAACATCGTTGTCTTTTGGCCAACCATGAAGCTTGGCAGAAAGGACGCAGTCAGTGCGTCGTTGCCGAGTTGTTCTCTCCACCCCGCTTCAGTGAAGTGCTTCGGGAGCGAAAGGAAGAGGGGCTGGCCTTTGACATTCAGCAGGGTTGGGATTTGACAGACCCAGCGACGCAGAAGAAGGTGAGTCGCTTGCTGGCTGAGAAACGACCTGAGCTACTGAGTGCAAACATTGGGGCGGTTGGTACAGGTTGAACAGGACCAAGCTGCCGCTGGCACAACAGTTGCTGAATCAACGTCGAGCTCGGGCACAAGCAGATTTTTGCGCCGAACAGATTCGCCTTCAGTTGCCCTGGGCATCAGATATTGATCCTAA